ATAAAACAAATAAATTCGTGATATAAATCAAAATCGTCAAATAAATTCGTAATATATAAATTCGTGAAAAAAAGCGCTTTCGACAAAATACTAAAAAAAGAGATCTATCGACAAAGACTACTCACTTTTGCCTAGCTTAATAGTATGAGATTGCCGCAGCTGATTCTCTCTGGTTATTTCAGTTTCCGTTTTTAAAAGCGCTATATGTTGAGCCACCTCAGCATTTTTAGCGGCGATCATTGGTCGATTTTCTAGCGTTTCCATTCGGGGAGTTGTAATGAGGCTTTTTTTGTCGCCGTGTAAGAGAAATAGTAACGTAAACAAAACAAAGCAAACGTTGCCACCGGCGGAAGAGAAATACAGCTAAAATTTGGGAGACACGTAAGAGAATTATGTATATTAGATACTGTATTATGTATATTAAAATATATAGTGCTTATATTAATTCAAACAGCATTTTACAGACTCGGAGTGCAAAGGGTTAAATGTCGGCATTATAAGTGCCATGGGTTTTGCAAGGCAGCCAACCTTCTACGGTTTCTGAGAAAATATCTTCTAGTGGTAGCTAAGTTGGTGTTTTACTGTATGATTCTTTGTTTTTGTATTCGATTCAAAGTTACGAGTCGTATTTTCCACTTAACTGCACGTAAATAACTCAAAAATTAATATAAAACTCCACCTTGTTCCAGTTCCTAAAATGTTAATAAAATTATCGAAAATTCTGAAAACTTTAGTCTTTAATTGTTCACCACTCTATGAATTATTTTGCATAAAATGTAGTAGTTTGCAGCCGTGGGTATGGAGTTGGAGTAGGGTAAAGTACTCTAAAAATTAAACATAATTAATTATATTATTAATGAATTATGGCAAATATAGCTAATTAATATGGTAGCAATGGCTCAGTGTTTAAGGCACTTAACTGTCATTGTGAAGATCTGGGGTTCGAACCCCAGTTGCGGGTGGAAGCCAACCCAGCTTCAGATCTATGGGTACCAGCTTGTCTGGGAAATAAAAATGGCCTGTGAGCAGTGCTGACCATATTACCACTATCATGCCGTTGCTCACAAAATGGTGGAACCTTAACCATGACACCCCCGGCCCACAATGAACTGCAGCGGAAATGCTTTACTTAATTTAAATATCTTGCTTCTTCATATTTAACGTTTATACTGCCGTGCAATTGCAAAAACACCGTATGCACTTCTTGATAGATTTCTAGAAAACTATCTCGGCGACTATTTTTTTTCTATTTTTAATTCTATGAACGCTAAAATAGAGTTAAAAAAAAACTGATAAAAGAAAATTTATTTAAGAAAAATATTTTCTTTTGCAATAAGTGGCACATCATGCAAAAATGCCAATTATAAAAATATTTAAATTTCAAATTTTCGTCGCTTGTATTGATTTTTCAATTGCTCGGCAGTTATATATTTTCAGAAACTGTTTTTTCGTTTTTTTTTTGTGAGATATTAAGAAAGTTCTTTCAATTGGTCGTATTTTATATTTTTATGGAAACTGGTTTTTCGTTTTATTGTGAGATGTTATGAAAGTTCATTCAATTGGTCGTATTTTATATTTTTAGAAACTGGTTTTTCGTTTTATTGTGAGATATTATAAAAGTTCTTTCAATTCGTCATATTTTATATTTTTAGAAACTGGTTTTTCGTTTTATTGTGAGATATTATGAAAGTTCTTTCAATTCGTCGTATTTCATATTTTTAGAAACTGGTTTTTCGTTTTATTGTGAGATATTATGAAAGTTCTTTCAATTCGTCGTATTTTATATTTTTCGAAATTGGTTTTTCGATTTATTGTGAGATATTATGAAAGGTTTTTCAATTGCTCGGCAGTTTTATATTCTTAGAAACTGGTTTTTCGATTTATTGTGAGATATTATGAAATTACTTTCAATTGGTCGTATTTTATATTTTTAGAAGCTGGTTTTTCGTTTTATTGTGTGATATTATGAATGTGATATTATGAATTGTGTGATGTCGTATTTTATATTTTTCGAAACTGGTTTTTCGTTTTATTGTGAGATATTATGAAAGTTCTTTCAATTGGTCGTATTTTATATTTTTAGAAACTGGTTTTTCGTTTTATTGTGAGATATTATGAAAGTCCTTTCAAATGGTCGTTGATGACATTCATCCAACGCAATGAGTAAAAAATGATTTTTCGCTTACCAAATCTGAGACTGATTTTTCCTGTAATCAACAATTCCATTTCAATGCATTTCTCACACATAATGATTAAGCAGATAGGGCAAGTTCATCGTATATACACCTTTTGACATGGCTCGTAGTTTCAGGGTGCGAATTAAAAGGGTTAAATCTTTAGGGCAAAGTTTCCTTGAAATCCAAATATCAGTGTCTATATTATTAATAAATAATGATGAATAGAATTTTCTTGTGTCTTCATACTAAATTCTTAGAATGAAAAATATGTGCTACCAGTTTTTGCTATTTAGTGAAAATATAAACTATTTGAAAAAAAAAAAAACTTGTACCTTAGATCAAATTTAAATCTTTAGTCAGTAAAAAATTACATCTTTTTCTACGTGTAACGGTTTTATCATTAGTCAGTGAAGAAAACTACCTTATGAATGTTTAATGATATTTGATTTTTGACAGATTCTGAGACTGTATATTTCAGAAAAACTTTTATAAGTTTAAGAATTTTTTTTTAAGTGTGACTAATTTTTGTACCAAGAATTAATTGGGCTTTGCCAGCCGTTTGGCGCGTAACACATCTAGCCATCTTCTCCAAACTCGCTGTGTCTATCTCGGGAACTGTCTTCCTCTTATCCATTAAATTGTACCTTCTTGTAACCCACTTGCATTTGTTTTTGCCACGTCATGTCTCGTCTTCCTCTTTTTCTCCTGCCATCAGGAGCCCCCCATGAGATAATTTTTCTCTTGATTTCTTTCCACAGTCTTTTGTTAACTTTTCCTTATTGTTATAGTGAGGTTTGCTCATTCCAAAATAAACACAGTTCTAATTTTACTAAGCGAAGAATTACTATTTGCTAAAAGCGTAATTGTATGTTATTTCATTAAAGAATTATTAATTACGTTGTTTCGTCAACAAAATTTGATCAAATCAAGGTCAGTGAAGAAAACCATTTCTTGAATGCTTAATGATGCTTGATTTTTCCAGCTGAGACCAAATTTTAGA